GCATCCTGAGAGTTCCGAGAGCTGAGGGATGCAGAGCTTGGGGCAGTGACCAGCAGGTGTGACAGAAGGAGTGGTCAGTGTTGCTGTGTGTCCTCCTCTCCACTCATTATAATGTAGTGTCTCAGAATTTGTGCTAGGAGAGGGAATCGTGAGGATGAATACAGTCATCAGAAAGAAGTCAGGAGCACCAAGCTCGAAAGCACAGAAGGACACTAGAAATAAGAAACAAGCTGAAAAATACCCCCACCTATGTAGGGTAAACACAGGCTGAGGAGAGACTGTGGAGGCAAAGGGCTCTCACACACTGCTGCTGAAATGTCAGTGAGGCCCCAGTCTCCTGTTCTTCTCTTTCTGCTAGCAAAGAGCAGCTTCAAACACCCTGCATCAAACATGCTGCCGCACAGGGGTTCCTCTGTGGACCAGTGAGACAGAGGCTTCTGGGTGTGGCTTGGTGAAGGATGAGCTGTCTTCTCCCTGGTGCCTGGCACCTGCCTCTTCCGCAAGTGACAGGGCTCTCAGCCTCACCTCTGCCCCTCTCCTTCCCCTGCCCAGCTCTGCCGGACCCAGCTCCCCTTGTAAACCAGGGCAGCTGCAATCTCAGGAGCGCTCCTTTGTGCAACCTGTGCACTCAGCTTAAGGTGAAGTTCTGCAGAGCAGCACTGGCCAGACCCTGTTTGTGTTTTCCCGGTCCCAGGCCTCATGGTCAACTCTTACTGTTGTCAAAATGTCTGAGTCTTGAGACTAGTATTCGCCAGGGGAGCTCCGACTCCATCCCTGAGGTACATCGCTGTCCTCTTCCTGCTGCACCGAAATATGAGGATCCAGAAATGTCCTGATTTGAAGTACAATGAGTGTGCAATGTAGCATGAAGTTCTTCCGTGATGTGCAGATCCTGCTGGGGTCCAGGTTTCAAGGAGCAGGTTATGACCTCCCTTCATCTGCTTCATTGAACTCCACAGCCAGGAACTAACTAATTGGGAATATTCATCATACAGTCATAGCTGTAGCTTTCAGAACACATTCAAGTACACTTCACACTGATAATAAAAGCCTGAGTGTACAACAGAGGCTCCCTCTGGGAGTAGGGACAAGAGCATTGCTCGGGGACCTGCAGGGATCTGAGCTGGGCTGTTTGCTGACCTGGCTGCTAGCTGTGCACACAAGACACAACTCCTACACCCGAGTAAGTCTGGAATACTGTGCACTGTCACACTAGTGTTCCCTGTCAGGCAGGGCCACTGGCTTGGGAGCTCCAGCTGTGCCATCCGTATGCAGAGCCAGCTGGGAGGGGTATGCATGCAATGAGCTGTTAGAATCACACACCAGTGCTGGGTGCCTATCACCGCTCTGAAGTGGTCCCTTTCTTGTCAGTTGCACATACAGCACAAGGAGATTCAAAGAGGTGAAGGCAGCTGGTTGTAGACCACCGCAGGCTGCCTGCACAGTGGCTAAGTCAACCTCTCTGCTTTCCAGCCAGTCCTTCCCTCCTGAGTGGCTCGTGCTCATCGTGATGGGTCGGAATGTGCTGAATGATTGAATGCTCCTTAAGTGACATTAGTTATGAATGCCCTGTCAGTGACATTAGTTTGTTAGGCAGCACAGCAGTCTCCAAAGCCCACTCCATAGCTGCCCTGTTTAGTCATAAAGAGATTAATATTTATTTCTCTCAGGGAAATTTTCCTGGTACCCGTGTAAACACATACAAACTTGGGGAAAAATAATACAATTTGAGTAGTACAGGTGTGTGGAGAGTAGGGCAGGATGAGACACAAGACAGGCGGCTTTCTCAGGATGTGAGCCAGGGCTGTTCAGGCCTTCATCCATGACCGGTTGTCCCTAAGGGGAGCACATGGCTTCTCACTGTGTGCTGCTAACACCCGGTAGAATGTGCCTCTCTCTGTGTGTGTTCATACTGTGGGAGCCAAGGTGCTGTAACATTGGGTGGCTCCAGGTTGTCTGCAAACACAGCAGTCACTGATCTCCCTTATCCTAAGACTAAACCCTTCAGAATGAAAAAAGAGATTTCTAAAACTCTGTCACCATCTTGACTTAATGGAAAATCACAGGCCACCACATGGGTGCCGTGACGCTGGTCCCATTGTTTTGTTTATGGACCAAACTCCATCAACACTGGGCCCCTTTCCATTTTATTGTCTCTAGATAAGTCCCTTCCCATTTGCTCTTCTTTCTCAATGAAAGCTTTCTCTGGAGGTTGGTACTGTTGCCTGAGCTTTAACTTCTATTATCACTGAAGTAAGCTCCCTCTAGGATGTATGGCATCACCAGGTAGCTAAGAAGCCCTGCGCTTCACAGTCAGGACTAAAAACAAGAGTGGAGAGACCCTGGCATGCAAAGCTTTGAGCTGCTAACATCAAGAAAGTGGCACTTTGCCCATCATAGTTTACATCACCCTGAAAACAAGGACTCTTAGTGCTGGTGAGAGAGGAACCACCTCCCTGCAGGTTTTCAGCCCATCCTGGCCTCAGGAAGTCCCCAAACCCTTCCTCCCTGGGCTGCACCCTGTTCTCCCATCTCGGGGATCCTAGTCCATCTCCCTTCATAGATCTTAGAGGACTTCTTTTCATCCCATACCGATTCTGAGTTCCTTTCATATCACTGCTTAACAGGAATTTCTTTTGAGAAATTTTTTGTAGAAAGGGCTGTGTGTATGGTTGGTGAAGGTTTAGAGGATGGGGTGCACAGAGCTCCATTTTGAGGAAAAAGCTGTGCCTCTCTTGCTGCAGTCCTGGGGAAGCCCAAACACCTCCAATGCCCCTTTCCTCACACCCTGTGCTTGATGTATCCTAAGCCAAGAAGTGCGCTGTGAGAGGCAGCCAGCTTCTGCGTAAGACCTCAGTGCTCGCTAATTGTCAAGGCATTTTTGATGGAGCCAGCATCATCAAGACTGTACAATACAAGGTCGCCTCTCCATCTGCAGCTGCCCCTGACCAGCCCGGCCTTAAGCAGCTCCCCTTTTAAGCAAAGACAGCCTTTACACTTTGTGCAGCCCAGTTTAGCAACTGAGATTTGTAGAGCAGCACCAGACCAACTCTGTTTATGCTTCCTGAGTCCCAGGGCTCTTGACCAATACCCAGTGCTGTGATGAAGTCAGTGCAATGAGTTCTGGCTTCACCAGGGAAAAGGGCTCCTTCTGCTGCAGCTCCCTTCACAGGGCCTCATCTGCTTCACGAAGAAGAAATTTTGTGAACATTTTCAAAATACACTATTGATAACACATGATTTTCAAGTGACAGAATCAGAGTTGCCCTTGATGTGCAGTATCAGGGAAATGGGCCCATGGGCTCTCTAGGGAGCAGGCATGGGCTGTTTCCTGCTCTGAATGCTGGCTGTGTGCATGATTCAGTTCCTGCAGCTAAGTGAGATTCTCCTGGATGATATCTGTGCTTCCATGCGGGTCTCATTCCTTTAAAAGTTCATTGTCAAGCAGTGATTCTCTCTGGACACTCAAATCCTACAGTACTTGTTGCAGTGTGAGTGGGTGTGGTGGGTCTTTGTATAGGAGTTGTGCATCAATTTTAGGTCTTGTCTTTTTCTTCCTTATGTATGATTCCATGCATTGAACTCAGGCTCTCTTCCTTGTCAGGAAATTATGATTTCAGGGAAGAGCATCGCTTGTCCTGCCCTGCCAGGTTCATGCATTTGTTGAGTCTAACTGCAATGACTGATGCAGAAATTGCTTTCTCTGTCTTGTTCTTCATGCTGGACACAAGGAAAGGGATCCCAGTGCAAGAACTCACTGCAGAACTGAGAGGAATAGTACAGCACTTGCAGTCATACAACCCTTAGTTACATTAGGAAGACAGTCTTTCAACAAGTCACAGAAAAATATAACACAAGGAACTGACATGAAAACTGTGGGCAAATTGTAGAAGCTCAGCATAATAAGTAGACATGCACCTTCCCCAAGGACCAGGGATGAGCCTGAAAGTCTGCTCAGACAGTGAAGAGGTGGGAGAATTTTACACCAGGGGTTCAGGTGTATCTGTTAGTTGGAAAATCTGTATTCAGCCTATATGTAAAATACTCTAAGCATTTTCAAATACTCATCAGGGATCTTATTAATACAATCATGTATTCTACACAAATACTTAAGAACTGAATTCTCCATTCAGTGCACAAGGAATCAGCTTTTTTGCAACTGCTTGAAGCTAAAAAGATATGTGTCACCTTGAGAAAGAAGCCACTAATTATTTTAAACATAATTTATTTTTAATTGTGCAAAAATTACAATTGACTTGTTTAAAAACAGAGAAATACAAAATTTATTAAGTGAAATTTTTATCTACTCTGCATTTACCAGTTTCTCTCAAATTATAGTTTCTCTTGCAGTCCTCTCAAATCTTTATGTACACAACATCAAACTAGTTTCCACTGCACTTTCAAAATTTTACTCTTGTATTATTCTTCCACTGATTAAAATTAGTTCTTATATGTCATTCCTTATTTGTAACCCACCATGCTTGCATGAAATTCATAAAATCCCTTTGAAAGGAAGGATATTTACAGATATTTTCAGGTAGACAACAAAAATAACTACTTTGGCTAGCACTTAGTAGCACTCAGCCTATAATGAACATGGTAGTTCACAGAAATGTTTCCTGTTCTAATAATCAAAAAGAAAATATAACGGTAAGATCATATCTAGAAATGGAATTGCTGGGTCCTCATAACAGTGGTCCAATTTGCCAAGTGATTTTCCAGCAACCTACAGCTGTAGCAGCGCTCTGAAGAACACTGGTGCATGTGGTACCATTAAAGCTACTTCTTTAGGGAGGCTGAGTGGAGAATGAGGTTTTTGCACTGCTCTGTATTTCAGTGATCTCCCTGTAAGATCAGGCTGCTGCAGTTTACCACAGCATTGGAGAATGAGATCTTATTTGTGTAAGCTAATTTAATGTGATTAGTTCCACATTTTCCATAAAAGAATCAAGAAGTGTTTCACATTTACTCACTGAAAAGACAGATTCAGTAGTAATGTCTCACTGTCTCTCTGTCCCACAAGGGCTCCAACAATGACCCAGGTGACCTTCCCTGTGAATCAGTACAAATGGACTAAGAACCGCATAACCCACAGCGAGAAATTCTCGAGCACTTATGACAGTAGACTGAAAAACTATGGAGGAACTTATAAATAGAGAAAGGAGACAATCTATCCAGTAAAACAAAAGAAAACCAAGCATCAGTAGGAGAACACTCTGAGCAGCTTTGATTTCAGGAGGAGCTGTGTAGAGGAACTTGGAGTTCTGCAAATGAAGAACCTGCTGGTGGTGTTTGTGGAGAACACACACCATGTAGCCACTGGCCCCACTCATGACGCCCTGAAACACCGCATCCCGTAGCACCATGCAGGTGAGGAAAATCCACTTTACGTTTTCACTTTCTGGTAGAAAATAACAATAACTCTCACTGTTATTAATCTGTGATGAATTCATGCTGACATTTGTGATAGAATAGAGTAAGTTGGTGGCTATCAAACAGTTGAGACCCCAAAAAGAGAGAAGCAGAAGGAGGATGCACCATGCAGACCTGGGCTTGAGTTTCCTCCACCCAGAGCGTCTGGGACTGATGGTGACGGCCTGGACCACCGTGAGGAGAGCACTGGTGCAGATGGACAGGCCCCGGGCCACCCTCTCCAGGTAACAGATGATCTTACAGCCTATGTCATCTAGGAAGTTTCTCACGCCAAAAGCTGCTATTGTCTTTGGCACTCCTTTGGAAACAAGCATTAAGGTATTTGTGAAAATGAAGTGCATAAGAATGAGCTGTATTGATTTGTTCTTGGTGTCCTGCCCCAAATTGCACATATAAGTCACAAAAACCGATGTGTTACCTGATATGCCAAGTCCCGTTAGCATGGCCCAGATTGTGCTGATAATGTGGAAATACATGTTTTACAACCTTGGCAGAAAAATGTGGATCCGGATGATACCTTTTGGAAAATTAACCAGTAGTGATGATTTGATTCTGAAGAAAACATTTCACCCCACAGCACTTTCCTGGTATGTAAGGCACAAAAATATTACATGTAATTGTGCAAATTATTTTCCCAAGAACTCCATTTGTTTTCCTGTGACACTTTTTAGGGGTGACTGTATGTACCCTCATGCTATCTTCATGACTAATAGTCAATAAACAAAATTTCAACTCAGATATTTTTGAGCTTCACCTTCCACAACTCCAGGGATCTGAGTCATATTTGAAGCCAGTTCTGAGAATTCACCTAATGAAGTCTCTTTATTTTCAATGAAGTAAAAATGTCAAAAGAGGGAGAAGTGACTGCCCTCCCAGACTCTCTTGGGACGCTCTTTCAAAAATGTTTAAAAAGATAAGCATTCCATTCTGATAGATGTGGCATGCCCTAGCTGGTTCTCACAACTAACTCTTCAGGCCTATAACACCATCCATCTCAGGCTCAGTTTTTTCCACAAGGAATGACATTCTGTTTTTTTGCATAAAACTACAATGCAATTAATGTGAGTTATTCTTTGTCATAATGACTCACTATTACCTGCATGGTGGGAATTCTCCAAAGAGCAAGATAATTTTATACTGAACAGTTGATAATAGATCCTTTATAAAATAGCAAAGCAATAGATTTACTTACATGTATGGCTTAAATTATGGGTTGCATATGGAAGATTTATAAACATGTATACAAAGAGGAAAGCTTCAAATTAAACAGAAATGCACTTGGGGCACTCAAAACATCGTGCAGACCTACAGTGTTCACCCATATTCAAATACGGAAATGTGTCATACTGAAAAAGTCAAATTTTAGGAATGGTACAATACTAACAGGTCCATAGAGCAAGATAGTTTCATGCTGAGAGAAACAAAGTTTTTCCCAGAAGCCTGAAAGGCTCCCAAATCTTACTGATTTCTAGAAGAAAGCAAGAATAAAACCTTATACAACGATCCACCTCAGAGTTCTCTGATCCTCTAAGATCCTGAACACAGGATCAGAGATGCCTCAGTATTTCTAGAAGACACTTATTTTCTTGTCACTGGTATCTTTCTTCTTTGGGCCTATGGTCCTTGTCTTTTAAAGATCCAAAGAAGACTGAAGATTTTAAGGCTCAAAGACCCTCTCAACCGCCCTTTTGCTGAGCCACAGACATTACAGCCCGATGAGAATGTTTACGTGATCGGTGTCTGTTAATGAAAGACTGGTCAGGTCTGCTCACCTTGGTGTGTGGAAGGTAGACCAGAGCTGGTTCCGTCCTTGTGGTGAGGTGAGGCTCCCAGGTCATATTTGTAACTCCATGAATTATACAGCTCTTAGATGCCATGAAGTGTCACCAAGACTTCATTTCGCCGTGTCTCCCGGCCTGGGAGAAAGACACCCTCTGGGACTCTCAGTCCCTGCTGTGCAACTTTTCCCCTCCATGCATAATTACCATATGTACTTACTCAGAAGTTTTTTGGGTCCAATTAGGTTTAATGACTTTAACAGGCAGGATGTGCACTGAGGAAGTGAACAGCCAGCGAGTCTCTGTGTCTAGTGTTTCCCGTTCTGCAGAGCTGTCTCAAGCTGTGCGTCAGAGTGGGGACAGGCTCCTGGGACACAGACTGGGTCACTGCCTGCTTCTGTCCCAGTCCTGCTCTATGCACAGAAATACAATAAAGAATGCTCGGACTGGGGTCCCTGCTTTCTGAGCTCTTCCCAGCAGTGCCCACAGGCAGGACGAGGGTCACCCTGCTGTGCTGCACGCATGAGAGTGCAGGGTCTTTGTCATGGGCAGCTGGCTTAGTCCGTATCTATTAAGCAATAAACCAGGGGGCCCCTACTTAAGAAACTAATTCTCTCTTACAGCACCTGTATCTTTGCCATGTGAAGGTGAACCTTGCCAAGTACATACTGGAAATATTTGTGCCACACCTGAAAGACTATCTGTTTGTAACAGGTACTAATGTATTCCCACAAAGGAAAGTAGGGCACTGGACTTGAGCAGTGTCCTGCTCTGCTCAAGTTTCCCCTGACAGAAATAAGGCCAAGTGCAAATATAAGAATAAAAATTTCTGTGATGTGAAAAATAACATTCAGTCCCTCTCTGTGTGTGTGTCTCTGTGTGTGTGTGTATCTCTCTCATATTCTTTTTTTATCTTTCACTTTTATTTGATTGTATTTGAAGAAAACAGCAGCTGCTGTACCTACTTTGCCCCTCAAGGTGTGCCAAAGTCTTTTTAAACTAAGCAATAATCTTAGCAGTTTTGAGTGCCCTGGAATGTGTTTTTGACACTCTAGATCCCTTTTTGAAATGTTCTCATCAGGGAAATCATGCTGTTTAAACTAGTTTCTGTGGTAATGGTGGGGCCTGAGTTCACTGCATGCTTTGTTCCAGGTTTCAAAGCATTACTCTTTAACAATCATGAGATTTTTAAATTTAATTTGCAATATAGGCAGGATAGTCACACGGAGAGCCAGCTGCGTCTCCCATTGAAATCACAGCAAGTTGTGGGTGAGAAGTGGTGTAGTCACATCCTCTCCTTCCACCCGTAGGTTGTCTTGGGAACGTGTGTGTATGGCTGTGTCCTCTTGGCTACAACAGTGAGGGTTATTTCCTGTTTTTACAATGACGTAGTCACTACCTTATGATGTGTATCACATGCTGGTTTAGTGTTTCTCAATCAGAAAAATTTTTGTTGCCTTTTTATTAAGGCATACTAGGTACACAGAATAATGTGTCTCAGTTTTCCATAGCAATACTTGCATGCAGAACTGACCGTTTACATCCCAGTTACCCTCTGATACTTTCTTCTTACCACCCTCCTCCTGTTCTTTCATACTTTTTACGTTACTTCATATCCTCTCTCCCCATCTCTCTTTTTTCCTTTAAATTTTCCTTGTGAGAGGCAAGATAATGTGTTTTTATTTCTTAGTGTGGTTTATTTGCCTGTATCTGATTGCCATTTTTCTGCCAATGTATGAAGTAATAAAACCTCCATTGCCTATATGTCATAACCCTTCGCCCATTCATTACTCAGTTGCCAGGGACGTAGGCTGTTTCCACAATGCAGGTAATATGAGTTTGCACCAAAATGAACATGGATGTGCAGTTATCTCTACAGTGAGCTTACTTTACTATTTCTCAGGTATCAGTGAGGGGAGGTATAGCTGCAGGAAATGGTACCTCGTTTTAAATTTTTGAAGAAACTCTATATTGAATTTGATAGTGGCTCCAGTAATATACATTTCTACCCACAGTATACAAAGTTTTCTTTTGTTCAGCAATCTCAAGAGCACATATTTTTTTTTATTCCTGTTAATTGCCCACCATTCAAAAATAGGTAAAATGGCACCTTAATGTCACTTGATTTGCAGTTCTCTGATGGGTAAAGATAATGAATACATTTTCATATACAGTGTAGTGATTTATACTATTTTTCAGAATGTCCATTCAGTCCATTTGCCTACTCATTGCTTACATTTTGCATGGTAATTTTTTTAGCTCTTTCTATATTCTAGATATGAATTCCCTGTCAGATTGTAGTTGGCAAAGTGTCTCTCATTTTCTATGGTATATTTTTGATCTGCTTCCTTCGCTATTCAGAAGCTTTTTAATCTGATGTAGTCTCGTTTCTCAATTTTGCTATTATTTCCTGGGCTACTAGATTATTTCCTATACAGTCAGCTTTTGCCTGTGCCTATATATTGCAGTGTTTCCCCTTACATTTTCACCTAAAAGTTTTGGTTTCAAATCTCATACTTAAACATTTGATCCATTTTAAACTGAGTTCTGCACCAAATGAGAGATGGGGACCTAGGCTCCATCATCCACATACAGGTGTCCATCCGTGTTCACTGTCAGGATCTTCTAAGAAGACAAGGCTGGACGATCCTGTGTTACCTGGAGCAGGTGGTCCAGGGACTCACAGTCTGCGTAGTGGTCTTCTCACAGTTCAGATCACCTTCATCTGCTCCAGACCCTGCAGGCAGAGGAGGCTCAAGCCCAGGGTTGCACGGCACATCCTTCCCTTGTGTCTGTTCCTTTGAACTGTCTATTCTTGACAAGCACCAATTTACTCCCTTACAAGCACCAGCAGAAACGCATCACAAATTAAAAGTGTGACACCAATTGTGATCTTCTGGCCTTAAATCAGGAAATAGGATGGATTGTTTGCAGTGTCCTGCTTCTCCAGAATGACATTTTTGAGGGTCTACTGGATGGGTCCAGTGGCTGGTGGTATTTATTCTCCACAAGCACCTCAGCCATGTTCTGCATTTATGGAAATCCATGTTTCTCTGAAAAACTCCATCTGAGTTTTCAGATATTGTCAATGTAGTCATTATTAACAGCTTGTAATTCCGGACTGAACTTTAAACTCTTTGCCTTCTATCTGTGTTACTAAATACTGCTGGCTGGTAGTGTGTGGATGAATCTATTATATTTTTGGGTATCTGGTATTGTTCATAGCTTTCTTTAATAATTGATGGATGCATCATCTTCTATTTTTCAAAACAAGAAAAAAGTTAAAGGGCAATAACCCAAATCCCTAAAGTTATGGGCCTAAGTAGTATCAACATTAGCACACTGAGAATGTGCAGTTCATGCTACATTGATCTTCAAAAAAAAGAAAAAAATCTAGTGTAATTTTAGTATTTAGTTGCAAGTAGAAGGAAGGCTTATTGAAAAGTATTTTAAGGAATAGAAACTTTCTAAATCATTGGTGAGGAATGAAATGTCCTAGTCTAATTTATTCCATGAAATGGTCCAGTGCACTTCAAATTTCAGGGCTGGAAATAAGAATGTAGAATTTGAAAAGGAAAGAGGAAACCCTAGGCAAGACTGAATTTTAAATTAGGTTATGCTGATAACGACCATAGCAACCTGCTGTTACCAAGTTTGGAAAAATTACACAGTTCTCTCAGGCTGCAAAGTTAACTGAC